CTTTATGATTCATTTTTGGTAATTTCCTTGTTCTGTCAGATGACTATTCTGTTTCCTCTTTACCTGTGTCATGTCTGGAGTCCTGAAGTGGCACTTTAGAAAAAGCACTGAATTGCTAACCAATAGGTTGGTGGTTCAAACCCACCAGCTGCTCCTTGGAACCTTATGCAGAATTGCTAAGAGTTAGACTGACTTGATGGTACTTAACAAACAATAACAAATATCATGTCTGCTGTTTGAGTTAATGACTTATTTCAAGATGTTCTGTGTAGTGTTTTCTTATTAAAATAAGAGAACTATCAGGGTTGGGAATAGACAGTTGTTGAGTGCTTGTAGCATGATGGTTTTGGAGCACTTGAAAATGAACAAGACTGGCTTTCCAGGGAGCAGACACAATTGTTTGGCTTGGGCACCCAATGTGGAAGTGGGCTAGGGAAGGCAGTGGAGGATTTAGAATAGCAGCAGACACAGAACAAGCTTGTATGAAGAGGACAGTTAGGGAAAAGAAACTTCTTTTTGTGTGTTTGTGTTGTAGTGAAGGAGCCCTGGTGGGACTGTGGGTTAGGCATTGGGCTACAGTTCAAACCCACTAGCCTCTCTGCTCTAGTAGAGCTGACATAATAGGGTTGCTGTGAGTTGGAATCCACTTGGTGGCAGTTTTTTCTTTTTTCTTTTTTTTTTAATGTTTTACTGTGAATTGTGTGTTAGTTTACATGGGAGAACATTAGTTTTACATTCATTCTATTGTACATAATTTCATTGCCATGGTTACAATCCCCTCCATGCATCATCTACCAACCAAAGGGTATACACTACAAGCCTGCCCCCACCCCCACCCCCGTCATCAGCATACAGCCTCTCTCCCTGTGTCTAAAGTCCCCAACTGCTCCATCTTTCCACGTCATCCCTCCATCTCAGACATCACTGCTTCTCTGGGTAGGGTCCCGCTCTCTGCTCCTCTCCCTTGATGGTCCCAGGGATCTCCGGTACTAGACTGAAACATTAATCACTCCCCTCCTTGCTACAAAATGTCTACCTTTACATTTCCAACCCTCACAAGCAGTTCTGATAACAATTATTCACTATTGTATCACAAGAGGCCCATCCACATTTCATCAGCCCTGCCTAGACAGATTGGATACTACTCAGTGGAGATTCTACCTTCCTTCACGCCCTCTGAATCCAGGGTCCCTCTTGAAAGCTTGTAAGCCAGTCACTTCTTGCCTTTGTAGTCCACACTCCTTTTGGGTAGCCAATGTGCAAGTTGCCCATCCCTGTCTATTCTGTGTATGGAGGGGCTGGGAATGATCCTTGCTGTAAGGATTTGTTCCCTCTTTTGAGCTACTGCATCCATAGGTGTATGTCAAGTTCATCAAATTGTATCAGATTACTCTTTTTTCCCTCTTCTTTCTTCTTCTAGTTCAGCTCTGATCATCCAGTCATTGAAGCCAGGTCAAGTGGGTATTATCTGCAAGTGTGGGTGTTCTAAATGCATATGCCCTCTCTTACTAGTTGGACGCTTCACTCTCCAGTCTAGTCCTCTGTGGCTATGTCACTGACTCTGGGCCCAAGAGTCCTCAGGTCTTGCCACACTGCTTGCCAACCAGGTCTCCACCTGGGTTCACAGGAGTCTATTGAACATTGTAGGGCTTGCAGCTTCATTGCTGTTTATCCCTCACTTTCCCATATCGGTGACAAGAGTGGTCACCAATCAGAGTGTGTATTCCCATTGAGTCTTAGTCTTGGAAGAGGGTTTACACTGAGGGAACCCGACCACTTGCCTTGATGTCTCCTGGGCAAGCAACTTGCTTGTTCTTGTAATTAACAGTCAGTCTGCCTATGTTGTTTTGTATTTTTCCTGTAGGTCTTTCTTTCAAGAAGTATCTCTGTTCTTCTAGCCGCTCCAGGCTGGTATGCTCATCCTTTTAAGTGGAAATTTCCCATCTCTGAAGATCTGGATGTGGTTCAGGCTTCCACCTAGTCTTATGTAATGCAGAGGCTCCACAGGAAGCCTCCTTCACTGGGCATGTTGTAGCCCCATTTTAGGTATACCAATGTTATAGGCAGAAGATGGACTTACAAGCTTTCTATGGTGATGTTTCTGGCTATTCCTTTCTCTCACCTCCAGTATCTATTTTATAATATAATGCAAGGAAAACCAAGATTCAAGACAGTTGGTGGCAGTTTTTTGAGTTGGTGCTGTAGTGAGTGCATTCATGGAAAGCTAAAGTCTGTTGAGACATTTTCAGTGGCCCTGGTCCCTGATCATCCTCCCCATCTGTGACCAGAGACAGCCCTAATTTGTAGGGGTGCCCACATGGCACAGCTTCCTAGCTAGAGCATCCTTTGGAGAGTATGTGATGCATGAACCTAGGCTTTTTGGGTCCCATAAAAGCCAACAGTGCAGCCTCACCAAGAATCTTCCTCAGGAAATAATGTCTTATGAATGAAATACTGTCTTATGAGTATTGGTTTCCCTTGCCTACTATTGTAAAATAGACACTTGAGTAGGATAGAAAGGAATATCAAGAAACATAATTACAGAAAGTTTATAAGTCCGTCTTTAGCCTATAACTGATTGGAAAACCTAAAAGGGGTTCTAGAACTTTCCCAGTGAAGTAGGCTTCTTACAAAGCCTTTGTAGTATATAGGACCTTAAATGGAATCCCGAGCCCTATCCAGAAACTTCTGAGGTGGGGCATTCCCACTGGAAAGGACAAGCAGACCAGACTGGAGTAGCTAGAGGAACAGAAGATACTTCTTGAAAGAAATACCAGCAGGAAAAAACAAAAATGACATTCTGAATGGCTACTACAAGAACAAACAAGTTGTTCACTGGTGAGCCATCAAGGCAAGCAATAGAATCCCTTCAGCACAAACATCCCTCCAAGACTGGAACTCAAAGGGAATACACAAATAGGCATGTAAGCTTACTAGTGACCACGTTGGTCTATTGGTAAGTGGAAGTGGGGGAAAAACAGAAATGAAGATATGGGTCGAGTTCAGCCATGTTCCATAGACCTCCGTAGACCTGGAGATGAGAGAAGAGGAAGGGATAGCTGGTTTGAACTCCTGAGCCCATGGGCAAGGACCTAGCCATGGAGGGCTAGAGATGAGAGTGAAGTGTCCAGCTGATAGGAAGTGAGGGGAGACACGCAAGAATGCCCAAACTTGCAGATAGTACCCCTTTGACCTAGCTTCGATGGCTTGATGATCAGAACTCAACTAGAAAAGGTTAAAAAAAAAAAAAAAATTGATAAAGTATAAATTGCTACAATTTGATGAATTTGACCTATACTTTGAATGTGTGGTGGCTATGACTATGGAGTTGGTGCCAACTCATAGCAACCTTGCATAGGGTTTCCACAGCTGTAAATCTTTATGTGAGCAGAAAGTCTCATCTTTCTCCCGTGGAAGCACTGGTAGTTTTGAACTGCTGAACCTAGGGTTAGCAGCCTGATTCGTAACCACTACGCTACCAGATTAAAATACCAGCCGAGAGGGAAGGAGTCTTCATCCTATCCCCTCTATATACAGGGTAGATAGGGACAGGCACCTTAGATATTAGCTACCTAAAATGAAGGGGCGATAAAGGCATGAAGTGACTGGCTTACAAATTTCCAAGAGGGAAATTAGTTTCAGAGTGTGTGGGGAAGGTAGAATCCCCACTGAATAGTTTTCATCTTGTCTAGATGGGTCTAGGGAGTCCTGGTGTGGTGCTATGGGTTAATGCGCCAGACTGCAAAGCCATTTGAACTGCAAGGTTGGCGGTTCAGGCTCACCAGCTGCTCCTTGGAAACCCTATACAGGGTTGTTATGGGTCGGAATCGACTTGATGGCACTTCACAACAACAAGATGGGTCTGGTAAAAGAAGATGGGGTAAGATTCTTATGATTCAATAGTGAGTAATTGTTATCATGACTAATGTGACTATAAAGGTATAAGTTTTGTAACTTCTACCTTTAAAGAAGCTCTGGTAGTGTAGTGGTTACGAGTCGGGCTGCGAACCACAAGGTCAGCAGTTAGAAACTACCAGCTGTTCCATGGGAGAAAGATGAGGCTTTCTGCTCCCGTAAAGATTTACAGCCTCGGAAACCCTGTACAGGGTCGCTATGAGTCGGAACCAACTCCACAGCACACAACAACCTTTATAGTAGAAGTTAAAGGGGAGTAGTTAATCTTACAGTCCAGGAACAAAGGACCCTAGGATCATCAAGGGAGAAGAGCATGAGCGGAATGTGGGACCCTATTCAGCGAAGCAGAGACGGAGGCAGAGATGAGGACACAGAGAGAGGGAGCAGCTGAGGACTCCAGACTAATGGATAAAGGCTGTGTGCTGGTGGCCAGGAGGTAGCCTTGTAGAATGTGCCATTGGGTTGTTTAAATGATTATATATTCCTGAGTGTTTTTGTGTACATCCAAAAAAAAAAAAAAAATAGAGGGAATAGAAGCAAATACTGTTGAATGATGATGCACAGAGATTATAATTATTGCAATGAAACAAAATAACATAGGATGAATGTAAAACTGATGTTCTCCCATGTGAACTATTACTTAATTCACAATAAAAACTTTAAAAAAAAAAAAAAATCTCCCACAATTGAGCACAGGCTTCATATTTGACATGGAAACCACAGAACTTTTTGGGTTTTTTATTTTGTCCAAATTGGATTTTTTTTTTACATACACACACAAAAATACTGCAGGTACCTCTAAAATAAGACAGGTAGGAATGTGTCCAGTGCAAACTTAGCATTCACACCTATGCACAGATAGTGCCATCAAATAATTTTCAACAAAGTAACACTACACTTGGAAGAACAGACTGCCAAGCACTGCAGGTACAGCTCTTCTGTAAGATAAGCACACCAAGTGGAAGAGGACATCCTGCAGTACACCCATAGCTCTGCTCACTGGGCGAGGCTCCCACCCTGCAGCCAGAACTGGTGAGCTCATCCAGGAGGCCACAGACATGCACACTGACAGCAGAGGGCGCTCTCTCAGTAGGGGATGTCATTTTGATAGTACTGGATTATATCGTAGGTCCTGCTCCTGAAAGGCCAAGAATACAGGCAGGGGTGGGGAGGTAGCTGTGAGAAAACCAAGTCCAGGTCCCTCCACCCCCACCCTAAGTGCACCCCAAGTTGTCCCTGCTTCTTGCAAGTAAGTGTGCACAGAAACTGGTCCCTGATGTGCCCCCTCCTCCAGTCCAGCAGGTGTTCCTCTTATGGCACTGCAATTGGGACACCTGCCTCAGTTTTCTCCCCTGAACACCCACTGCGAACTGGGCCTCTAGCAACTCCGCTTGGGCCTCACTGTGAACGCTTGGCTGTGCTCCTGCTTTCAAGGCATCACACTTAATCCCCCTACCTCCATACCCCCACCCCCACACCATAAGAGACTGCCTAAGGTCAGTTCTTGCTTCTCCTCTGGCAGGGCCCTGGCTCCAGCCTGCTGAGCCCTCTCCTCCTGAGTCTCAATGTCTGGGTGGCTTCCCTCAGGCCCCCAATCTTTCGGTACCTCTTTATGTAGACGCCTCATCAGCATCTCAACACAAACTCCATTCCCTTCACCCCCTCTGCTGCAATATCCAGTAGTTTGGACACACATTCCAAAGTTATCTCTAACCCCTCTCTCACCTCACAACCTGTCAGTGAGTACTATGGGCTTTGCCTTCAAAACCCGCACCAACCTCCTCACAGTTCTACCTTCCCCGCTGCTGGGATGCTGGGGTGCTATGTGGTGGCACCTGCTCTCTGGTCTGGCATAAAGCTGGGATCTCCAGGCCTTAGGCCTTGCTGCCTGTCTGAACTCACTCTGCTCCCAGCTCTTGCTGGTCAGTCCTACCCCAAAGGCTCTCCTGACCTCCCCCAGGCCCCTGCCCCTTAAACCAGCACTCCCTGCTCCATGAGATTCTCTCCAGCACAGGTGCACAGAGCATGGGTCCACACCTGTTGCTGAGGAAACAGTTCTGAATGATCTTCATGATGAAATTTGCGGCTTCTCGCTCTGTCATGTTGGGACTAAACCTGTTCCTAGAGGGTGGGGAGATGGTTAAGAGAACTGAGTCAGTGCTTTGGAGCCTGAGCAGCATTGCAGCTTACCCTCTCCAGGTTTAGGATGTGTGGTTATCTTTAGCTGAAGCTCTCCCTGGAAATATACTGTCTGAGGCTCAGTGTCAGGCCTGAGGGACAATGTTATGAGGCTAAATTAGGCCTCTTATGTGGACAGTGTTCCCAGCATATCCTCAGGGCCTGGGTGGGTGCCACCTATGGGGTGGACTAAGTATGGGGAAGGGGTAACTGCTTGGCTAGAGTGGGCCTCAGAGGCAGGGTCAAGTGCTGTGTCCCTGGACAGACTATAGGGTAAGGTCCCCTGGCTGGCTCAGGCCGAGAGAGTTTCACATCTAGAGTCTGTTGACTGTGTGTGGCCAGTGCCCCATCTTCTCTGGAGAATACCCTGGAAGTTTCTGGGGTTGCAAGCAGCTCATACGACCCCATCAGCCAGCACAGCTACAAGCACTCAAGGGGCAGCCAATCTTAGGCAGCATTGTGGCTAATGGATGGCTATCCCCCAATGCCTGGTGGGTCTGCTAAAGACCTACTTCAAGAGCTTGATTGTCTGGCCTCGGAAGCAGGGTAGGCCAGTGTCCAACATGAGAGTGACCAGAGACACGACAGCATCCATGTAGGGCCTGGGGAGAGATTGAAGGGAAGTGGGTTAGAGGCAGCCTGACCCTACCCTCAGTCTGCAACCCAATGCTGTATCTTCACGCCTGGATTCTCGCTTGCTCTCCCAGATCTATGGTCCCCAGAGCCCCTGCACATCAGGTGCCCCCAGCCAGCCCTGTAGGCAAAAGCCCAGCAGTCATGAGCTGAGTAGTCCATCCCCAAGGGAGGCCCAAGGAAGCACAGATGCTCTGTACACGCCAGCCCAGTCCTCATGTTCTGGCTGCGCAGCATTGCACACAGCAGTTATAAATGCATGCTCTAAGTGTTCTCAGAGTGTGCGATGTGCCTTCAGTCAAGTGACACTGGATAATGAACCAAAGACAATGACCATCTATGGTGGCCTGAAGGGAGGGCAATCAGCAGAAGTAGCAGGAGGCTGGGCTTGGCATGCCTGCCCACCAGCCCCTCCCTTATTATTCTCTCTATTCCCATGTCTACAAAGAGGCAGGAGAACGCCACTCCATAGGGCCTTCAAGGGCCACCAAGGATAGGTCACTTTAGGCTGGACACCATTTGCCCGCCTACCTGGGGAGTCCCTGCTTTCATCTAGCACCCAGGGCTCTCACCTTACGGCCAGGTAGCCACGGACACACATCTCCATAAACCACTTGAAGGGTGTGGCCTCCATCTTGCCTCCCATGATCATCACCATCTCATCTGTCAGCTTGATGTCTGGCTCCCAGCCCAGGTTCCCGCCTGGTGAGCTTTCAAACATGAAGCCAAAGTCTAGAAATCCCAGAACCCTCTGTGACTGACTATCCCAGTCAGAGAGGCGGGAGCACGTTGCTAGGTGGACAGGTAGTCTGCTCTTAGGAATACCAGCTCCCACCATGCTCATGAGCAAGGCCCTAGGACTGTGCTTTCTTGGGAGTGAAGGACAAAAGGGAGAGGCCTATCCCTCCTAGAGTTCCACCTGGCAGGCCTTCAAACAGGTTCAGTCATTGCTGATAAAACCTAAAACCATATTAGGACAAATCTGAATTTCTGTAAAGTGGGTATACCAGAAACCAATAACCTGCACAGGGAAAATTACACAGGTAACACTTGCAATGCATAATGCTGAATTACTGTTAGATTTTGCAGAGAGACACATAAGCCAAGTGGCATAGTTTGCTGCCATCTTTAAGTCTGGCACCACTCTGTCACTGTTTTTGGCTCTGCTGGTCATGATGTTTACAACACACATGCTGCCTTTGACTTGTAAGAGGGAGAATATGTTTCTAGCAGGGTGTTGGCTATAATTTTTCCCATTCTGGTTCACCCTTGTTTAACAAATTCATGTCCATTCCAGTTTTACTTCATTGAGCATGGCTCAATCAAAGAAGAGTCAGTTTGAAGCCCTTCTATTTAATGCCCTCAGGCTCCTGGTGTAGGGCTGGGCTGCCACCCAAAGTAGGAAGGACTTAGTCCCTGACTCCAACTCTCCTAATAGGAGCTTTGGGCAAGCTTGCTGAGGAGCAGGGTCACCCCCCAACTCCTGGGGCCTCCAGGCCAACTACCGATGTGGATGATGTGGCCCTTCTTGTCCAGCATGATGTTGCCATTGTGCCGATCTTTGATCTGCAGCAAGAACAGCAGGAGGCTGTAGGCAGCCATGCTTCGGATGAAGTTGTAGCGAGCCTGTACAGAGAGCCGTGGGCATTACAGGAGCTCTTGGAGGGCAAGCTGCCCTCCCATATCTGGGAGTTAGCTTGTTTTCTTCTGGGGAATCAAGCCTTTTGAGGGGGAAGGGGCTGCTCAGTTCTTTCTAAGACCAAGCCCCTCCCCAAATATACGGTCTCAGAAGGAGAGGGAGGGAGGAAGGGAGGTGAGTGTAAAAAGATCTGGGATTTCCCTGTGTACCTGCTGAAAGGCCAAAGTGGACTCATCCCCATACTGGCGTGTGAAGTAGTCATACATGCCAAAGTCCGTCTGGCGACCCAGCTGGTCTCTCGAGGTGCAGTCGGGGATACACTCAATCACCCCACACTGGGGAGGAAGGAGCCGATGTGGAGGATGCCAGGTAAGGAGGGAGAAGGTCTGGGGGTGGCGCAGGTGGAGAAGGTCTGGGGACTTAGAGGAGCCACTTACCCCAGGGGCAGTGGCCACTACCCGGTATGGAAACACGAAGAGGTCCAAACCAACCAGCTGAAAGATGTTCTTGAAGAGGTCGATGATCTGCAGGGCCAGCATGTCCTGGGAGCCAAGAAGTAGGCCTGTCAGTGCCGAATCACGTCCAATGGTTGGCAGGACCCTGGCCCACCTGCTCCCCTTCAGGGTGACCAAGAGGGGCTGGAAGGCGGCAGGTCTGGGTTTTCCAGAGCCCTACCCACCAGTTGGAGCTGTGGTAGCATAGTGGTTATGAATTGGGCTGCGAACCACAAGGTCAGCAGTTCGAAAACTACCAGCCATTTCGTGGGAGAAAGATGAGGCTTTCTGCTCCTATAAAGATTTACAGCCTCAGAAACCCTGTGCAGAGTTGCTATGAGTTGGTACAGACTCCGCAGCACATTAAAAACAACAATAACCCACCAGTTGCTCAGTGGGAGAAAGATGAAGCAGTCTGCTTCCATAAAGATTGATAGCCCTGGAAGCCCTGTGGGGGAGCGCAATAGGATTGCTATGCATTGGAATTGGCTTCATGGCAGTGAACTTGGTTTGCCTTTGGATTTTAGGAATTAAAGTCAGGTTATTTTGAGTGTGTTCTGCTTGAGTATACTCAGCTGCTAACCTAAATTTCAATGGTTCGAACCCACCAGCTTCTCTGTGGGAGAAAAATGAGGCCATCTCGATTTATACTCTTGGAAACTCTAGGAAGCAGTTCTACTCTCTCCTATAGGTTTACTGTGATTTAGAATAAATTCGATGGCAGTGGGTGATGGGAATGAATTGGCCCACAAGCCTAGTGGAGGAGCAAACTCTCGTTGGATTATGAATGTGCTGAGAGCACCTAGCCTGCACTCTCCTAGGCCTAACCCCTTACCTGTCTGCAGTCATCCCCAACTTTGAAGATTGCAGCCTGCCAGGAGATCTTCTGTGTGTCTGCCTCCTGTGTGCCGTTCTCCTCAGAGTCAGAGCCACACCGCAGCCCTGAGGGGGCAGGAAGGTGGGTTCCTGTTACTAGTGGAAAACCTCAGAGGTGTGTCTGCAAAGTCCCAGAAGGGTGCCAGGGAGGGGCCCTGGCAAACCTGGGAAACATCCTGGGTCAGCAAAGGAATCCCAGGGCCAGGCATTCTCTTATCAACATTTAGACCAAGTGGAATTGAAAATAGAGCCTGTTTTCTTCTGAGACAGAGTTCAGTGTGTCTGTACATGTGGAGGGTGCTAGAGGACTCAGGGGCCTAAAGTGAAGGTATGGTACACCCACCTATACTGCCTGAAGTCCTGCTGCACAAGGACTGTCAAGAGCCTCAGGCTCAAGAAGGCTCCCCTTGATGTCCTGGCAGGTTTGGGGCAGACATATCTGCATATGCACATGAGCTCAGAGCATCTTGGCCATAGCACTGAAATCTGAGGCAATACCCACCTGGACACAGATGGGCATGACTATTTCTGGAGGACAGGTGACAAATGAAGTATCTCAAGAGAAGCTTCCATGAGCAAGGGAGCATACATTTAGGCCTTAGAGAAACTCAGGGATCCCCCACTGACCTTCTTTCTCAAGCTCACTCACTCCACATCGCTTCACCTTGAATTTGGCCAGGTATGGGGCTTTTGCCGCACTGTGGGGAGAAAAGAATGTGGTGGAAGCAATAGAGCAAACAAAAACTCCCTGAAAAGCAGGACACAGGAGAACAGAGACCACACCTCTGCATCGGGGTCCCAGATTTGTAGTCGATGTCCAGGACGATGGCCTCAGGGTTGCTGGGCAGGTAGCAGCCTGGTGTGAGGACAGAGCACTGTCACGGGACCCAGGGAATGGCCCCACACACTGGCTACCATAGCCTCTCCCCAAGAGAAGGTGTCATGCTCAAGAAGCCACAAGCCTCTTGCTACAGACCCCGAGGACTTTTCAGTTCGCAGCTTTTATGGGTGCGCTTCCCTGGTCCTATGGACTTTCAGGGGTGTCCCAGGTCTCATAAATGAGCCACACTGAACCCTGGCCTGCTGGTCTCCCTACTCATCCAGTATCCCATTTAGCACCCATTGCAGCTCTCAGGTCTTGGGCTGTACATTCTGACGTGCCAAGGAAAAGGCTACCTAATACAGTAAAGCTTGGTCTTCTGAGAACCCATCCCTGGCTAACAAATGCCATGTCTCTTGGGAACTGGATCCTAGTAGGCAGCTGTGGTGATGGTGGGCCTAGACTCTGGGCCCTTCCTTCCCTACCACATGATCTAGAAACCCAGTGCTCCTACTCCATCCTGTGGCAGTCATTCATTAAGGGGGAGGGGCTTCACTGAGAGGATGGTGAATCTTGTGTGCTGGGGCAGGATCAGGAGCATAACAAAACAAGCCCAAGGTAACGTTTACCACATCTACTGCCTGCCTGCATAAGCACCTCCCAGCATGACCAGGGAGGATGGGGAGCTGTGCTGGAGGCCGCAACTCCTGTCTTCTCAAGGAAACATAATGGCACAGCCACATGGGCTCAAAGGTGCCCAGAAGTTGCTCCCACCCTGGCACACTTGTCTGTGTGGCCCCCAAGCATCTGGAACCCTGGCCCAGATAAACAGCACCTTGGCCACCAGAAAATCTGTAGGTAGCCCCCAGCTCACCAGGCCCTGAGTTTGAGGGTCTGGCCAGGTTGTTGGTCTCCATACTCACCCATGAGCAGAGGCCAGTCTCCTGAGCACTTAAAGCCCTCCTACTTACCTGGCTGCACTTTCACCTCAGATAGCGCTGACAGGCATGCCTTCTTTCTCTCGTCACCTTTAGGGTAGGGCCTGAGGAAGAAGACAGATGTGCTGTCTCCCAGCTCTCCTGTTTGAGGTGGGCACAGAACACCTTGTTTCCTGATCAAAACCAGTAAGGTCTACCTCCCAACTCCTCTGTGAGAGTGTAGATGATGGCCCCCATGCTGGATTCCTCATCTGAAGACCACATAGCTCCCTGGGGGCCCAGGGCAGTCTTTTCTGCCCTCTCATGCTTGGGGAGATATGTGTATGATCAGAGGGGCACAACGTGTGGAGGCTACGGGGTATGGGTTCACACAATTCTGGGCTCAAATTCCAGCTCTTTGGAGCGGCTTCAAGAAAGTATATGGAAAAATTCTACTGTCTTTTTTTTCCACCCCAAAACTTACTGTGAATTGAGTGAAGGTTCACAAAGCAGAGCATCAGTTTTACATTCAACAAATCATAATTTCGTTTCATCTCAGTAACTGCAATCCCCTTTCTTTTCCTTCCATTTTTCCATGAATTCTTTAAAGCTCCCTCTTATTATATGTTCTATGTGACCTGGGTGGTCCATGCAGACCTCCTACAGGGAGATGGTAAGGGGTGAGGACACTAAGTTTCTCACCTAGCAGATGCCTAATTAGTGCGGCTGCTCCTACCTCTTTTTCACTGTGTGCGACAGGCTACACTGCCATGCTGCCTATTCTACTCAATGTCCCGCCTGGGAGAAGGCCTCAGGGACATGGGGTGGACAAGATGTGCCCAGGAACTAGGCACCTGCCTGCTGAGGACCAGACCCGTGCTGCTGCCTACAGGACGGACGCTCTGCCAAGTGCTGGCCACGCTTGAGGGCTCCAGGCCCCTATCCAATATGAATGGACAATGCCATAGATGCCTGAGGATGCTGTCAGAACCACATGAATGGAAGCTCAGGACAATGGGTCTTCTGAAGAAATCTGCTGTTCCTCACGCAGTAGGATCCTTCACAACTCTCAGAGCAGAGAGGTCTCAAACCGTGAAACAACCTAAGACATGAGACTAGCGTGTGTGCTTCCCATAACATCACAAGACCTGCAGAACCCCGGCCTACCCTGAAACCTCTCATTGATCTGGTCTCTAGGATCAACCTAGTATCCCTCACACAGGGGCTGCACCGGGACTGTTTGTTTGCTTAGCTCTACCACTTACTTAATGATGGCCGACACATTGGTGATCTTGTTGAAGAAATCAAACTCCCGCTGGTAGAAGTCCTTAGCTGGGCCCGACAAAGAACCTGTGATCTCCTCCACTAACTGCTCAAGCAGGTCGCCAATGTCAGCTAGCAGAGGGAGAAAGCTGAGTCAGTGGCGGCCTTGGAGAGATCATCAGGTTATTTTCAGTCAGGTCAGCAGTTCTCAAAGTGTGGCCCATGCGCGCCAAGTCCCTTTCAGCAAAGCCCAATGTCAATGCTGTCTCAAGACTGTGTGGACACGTGCCAAAGTGATGCAAAAACAAATGACACCTCAGCATGCATCACAGTAGGGGTGGCCCAACACTCTAAAGGTCACTGTACTCTTTCCTTAAGTATCACTTAGTCATGTCTTCAATGAAGCAATAAAAAGGGAACTGTGTTAATACCTTCCCCTCAAGCTGTCTTTCTAATACCATGTGTGGTACTGCTGGAAGTATGCATAAAGCATGTGTGCTGTGTTCCGAAGTATGAGGAGGCTCTAAAAAATTCGTGAAAAATTCCATTACTTCCATGAACCTTTTGACATTCAATGCAAACTAGTACATTGGTGGTAGCTGTGATCTAAATTAATCTCTCTTTTTCATTATTGTTGTGTGCCAATGAATTAGTTCCAACTCATAGTGACCCTGAATATGGTTTCTGGGAGGGGCTGGTGGGTTTGAATTGCTGAACTTTTAGCTACCAGTTCAGTGTTTATTCTACAGCGCCACACCGGGACTCTTTTTTCATAGAGCTTCATTTTTACTTGAAAGGGTGATACAAAATATAGCTGTCCAAACTTAGACATTGAAAGTGAACAAAGGGGAGAAAACCAAACAGACCAGAGATGCTTCCAACTCATGGTGACCCAGTGTTACAGAGTAGAACTGTGCTCCTTAGGTTTCTTGATTATAATTATAATGAGTTAGAAAACTTTATTTTGATAGCTCTCCAACACAAACACTTTAGCTAAGACTGGTAGGGATGTTAGCAAATGTGCCATTACTGTATGAAGAAACTTCAAAAAGTTCATGGAAAAATGAAATCAAGGCAATGGAATTAATTTTCCCACCAACTTTTTGAAGTCCCTTCATATAAAGACTTCAGCAATATTTGAAAGGTTTGCATATTTCACTGACCTGTTTTTAAGTCCCTTCGTAACTGTGCAAGGTCAAACTGCCCTCATTAACATCGTGCAATGGATTAAATGCACAAGTGAGAGGAGAATCCAGTTATCTCCTATGAAGCCAGCCAGAAATGAGATTTACAAAAATGTGACACAATTCTGCCCTTTTCACGTGGGTTTTTGTTCTGGAAAAGTCATTGTAAATAAAACTATTGATGCTAAACATGCAACCTTTCTTTTTTTAATTCCTAATTCTGGCTCTGGTAGCATAGTGGTTACAAATCAGGCTGTGAACCAAAAGGTCAGCAGTTTGAAACTACCAGCTGCTCCGCATGAGAAAGATGAGGCTTTCTGCTCCCATAAAGATTTACAGCCTCAGAAACCCTGTTCAGGGTCACTATGGGTCAGAACCGACTCGATGGCACTTAACAACAACAAAAACAATGCTGATTAGTCTAATATGATCTTCATCATTTTTAGGTAAGTGAAGGAGCCCTGACAAGACACACAGTTTTCCAGCAAGATGGAGCTCAACTGGGGAGGAGGTGGGCTGGTTGCAGGGTGGGGTAGGGTGGTGGGGAGGTAGATCCTCTGCATGTTAAGAGGAGAACTGCTCCTTGCTTTGGGGGATGGCAAAGAGAGGGAACTGAGGGATGGGATGGTCCAGGTCATTGAGGATTCCTGGAGCTTAAAAAGTTTCTGGAGATGGGGCCACAGATGAGAGCAGGGGTACTCACGATCCTTCTGGTGCCCCTCCTCATCTAGATAAATGTTGGTTTTCATGTTCCAGATGAACTGGTGGGCCAGCAGCTGAGATTTGGATGCTGCCCACAGGATGTACTCCCGCACGTAGCCCATCTGGAGGAGTGCAAGGCCACCAGTCAGGATTTCTGACCCAGCGCAGCTCCCAGGGTCTTGCATGCACCATGGGGCTGGGTGGCATCACTGTGACAGCAAGGAAGGGAGGCAGCAGGTATAGGCAGCAGTCTTACCTTGTCATACCTGAGGGCCTGCACAATCTGTGGGATGTAGAATAGGATAGCATCCTGCGAGGAGGGAGGGGAGCAGCATGAGCCCTGCAGCAAGGACAGACCTGCCCAGCAGAGGGAGCCCTGCCTCGCTCAGCACCCCACCATCCTTGTCAGAACACTGGGGCAAAAGGAGTGATATAGGAAGCCCACAGGGTGGCAGTGAGTCTCCAGTGGCTTGAGACACAGGAAGAGTTGAACGAATGAGGCTCACATGCCTATGGGTGGGTAGGCAAAGCCAGGGCTCTCTCGGGCTTATTACTGTGACGCCATCTCATGACAGACTGTGTTTGGGCTGCATCAACTCAGACTCATACAGTCTCCCCCAGTCCACCCATGGCCCCAGAAGTGAACAGCTGGGGTATAAAGCACTCGCTATATCTGGACCAACCTCTGGCCACCTTTATCTTGAAGTCAAGCACCTAATTAAGGTTAAAAAACAAATGCAAGGGGGCAGCAAAGTTTGTGGAAAGATCAAATGATAAGGGGATTTTCCCACCAAGTTTTGGATACCTCCTGTTACCATGGAATATATTCAAATTAGCAATGACTCTAGACTACAACAAACTGGTCAAAGAAGTAAAGTGGACTGACGTGTAGTTAGGCTAACAGTTCCCAAACTCTCCAGACACAATAACTCCCTTCAGTGGCACTTACCGGTGGGAAGGACCGCAACACCTTGACCCCATACTGTGCGGTAAGCGGGTGCGGTGGGTACATGCTGGAGAAGTAGGAGAGGCCAGTGGGCGGGTCCGTGGGTGCCCAGCAGAGCACATGGCTGAGCTCAGGTGCATCAGCATCAATGGTGTGCCAAGTGACCAGGAACTAGGAGTAGGGAGATGGCTGACCTTTGGCGAGCACACTGGCCCTTGCCCAATGTCGTGGGGATGGACACGTAGACTGGATGCTGCACAGCCTTGAGTTATGTTTCTGAAGCATTTTAAAACGACTTGGGAAATGCTTCAGATACATACAAACAAACCTAATGCCAGGGAGTCAATCCCAACTCCTATCAACCCTGTAAACAGCAGAACTGCTCCAGAGGGTTCCCGAGGCTGTCAATCTTTACAGAAGCAGGCTACCTCATTTTTCTGCCATGGAACAGCTGGAGGGTTCAAACCACTGACCTTGCAGTGAGCCACCCAACACTTAACCCACTGTGTAAAACAGCAAAACTGCAATTGTATTAAGGTACATGAATCTTTTCTATTGTAAATGCAACAACAGTGTTGTCATCAGCTGCTGTCAAGTTGGCTCTTCACAGTTTATGAGAACCCTATGGATTGTAGACACAATACATGCTTTGTATTTGGAGAGAAAGAGAGAAAATACGACCTCCCATAAAGGCAGTCCCTTCATTTCTAGCACATTCTGGGTTCCAGGCATCAGTGTGTAGCTTGGTAAATACCATTCTACCTTGATAGCTTCCGGAACATCACTGACGGCTCCTGGGTCCAATCGGACCAGACGGGTCACCTCGTTACCAATGGCTTCTGTGTTTTTAAACCTGTACATACAGCAGGATTGAGGTGGGTGAGGGGCTTGGACCATAGACTTGGGTCCTACAGAAAGCACTGAGCTGAGGGGCTCAGGTCTGCATCAAACATCATTAAGACATCCCAGGCTACAAAGAGACTACAGAAAGTTCTTGGGAAAATTCTATTATATTTCAATTCCATTGTTCCACAAACTTTTTAAAGCTCCCTCAAAATTAATCTGTTGCTAAGTCTGCATATGAGTGTTTCAAAAGTTATATAAGAAAATACCAGTTGTACATTGAGCAGGGATTACCTGCGCTAGCCGTTCTGAGGAATGCCCTCTTTTTCAGATCTGTTATTGTGCCTCCTTACCCTGACCCTCAAAGCAGTCCCCCCATGCTGGGCTCTCCCAGGGGTGAGTAGGTAGGGACATGTTTTCAGCTCAGGGTCACCACCCCAAGGTAACAATGCAGAAGCAGATGGACAGAGGCAGAACTAGAGGTAGGAGCTAAGCACTTTGGACTTGGTACCAGGAACTGTCAGCTTTGGAAGCACACATGGGAGCCGGAGGTCTGTCTGGTGGAATTTCTCCATGGAGCATGTGTTTGGAGTTCCTTGCAGCTCCCAATAGTCTAAGACCTCTATTTCCACCAACACCAACCCAGAACAACCCTGTGTGGGCATAGCCCGGCTGCTGGTTGAAGCAAGCCATTGACAGTTAGTACCCAGAGCAAACCCAGGTCTGCCTCCCGGGAAGTGATAGTCTCCATGCACCCCGTCTGTGAACAAAACCATGGTCCTGATCTGCCCTGACACAACTTCCAGGGGCTCAGGCTGTCACCTAGGATTGTGAAAACATTATGGAGTTACTGTGTGATAGCTGCCCAGGGCAGAACACTGGCCCGTGAGTGCTGCCTGCATCCACGGTCACCACCCCCTTGCTCGCACTGTGGTCAGGACCTACCTGGCTGGCAGTTGCACGGCCAGGTAAGGTGAGATGTTCCAAGCAAGGTTGACGTTGTCTTTCCACTGCTTCTCACTCAGGCTAATATACTTGGACCTCCAGTTGGCCACACTGTTCTCCCCGGCCTGGTCCAGTTCCAGTTCTGGTGCCGATAGGGGGTTGTACCATGTGACTAAGCGCTCAATCTCAGTGGCCTGAAGAGAGTACAAAATGTCTGATTTTTGTGGCCAGGCAGGCATTGGGCCCTGTGGGTGGGTGCGGGGCCAGTGACCCACCAGCAGAGACAGTAGCAGTGTCCGACGCTTCATGTAGTACTTGTGTAACTGGGAGCCCCGGTTGGTTTTCTTAGACATCCCTGAGGTGGGGGAGAGAGAGCATAGGTATCCTTTCTCAGAGTCTCCTGCCCACCCTATTTTCAGTGTACTTCTTATCCCTCTGGGATGGTGACTCAGGGGTTAATGCCCACTGACCTGACTTCTTGGAGATAGTGGATGTTCCGCTGGACAGTGGATATGTGTTGATCCAGCCCTGTGTGGCCTGCTGTCGGGAGCCAACTGTTATGTCCAGGTTGCTCCGCGTGTCTTGGTTATCTGTGACAACGACATTGATATTGGAAAGAGCGGCTTGAGAATATGGCAAACATGAAATGAATTTTCTCCCAGCGACCAGGTGGTCCATGGGAGACCAAGCGTTTTCCAGGCACAAGACTCCCAACAGACCTGCATGGAGAAGGCTGACAAGAGAACACACCACCGCTTACAACTTTGCAGGATAAATTCTTTAGAGTAAGTTTTTCAGACCTCTGAGAATTTATTTAGCCAGACACATTGCCACCGAGTCAAATCCAATTCACAGTGACCCTACAGGACTGAGCAGAACCGTCTCATAGGGTTTCTGAGTCTGTAAATCTTTATGGGAACAGACTGCAGCATTGTTCTTCTGTGAAGCAGCTAGTGGTCTTGAACCACCAACTTTTTGATCAGCAGTCTGATGGATTCCTTATTTTAGATGGAAAGCTTTCTACATGCATTATATTCCTCCTTGCCTTTAAAGTAAAATAAAACCAATAAAAAGATTCCTTTTGGGGAAACATTGTTATCTGGTTGACATTCCACTGTCCTTTCACATATATTAATGGACCTCTGGGCCACTAAGGAGTCCTGGTGTAGTGCTGTGGGTTAATGCACTGGACTGCAAAGTCAGTGGTTCAAGCTCACCAACTAACCCTATAGAGAGAGGGTCACTATGAGTCGGAACTGACTCGACAGCACTGAACAACAACATGGGCCACTAAGGAGCCCTAGTGTGGGGCTATAGGATAAGCACTCGACCACAAGGTCAGTTTGAACCACAAGGTTGGCAGTTCAGACTCACCAGCCACTCCTCAGAAACCGTACATAGGGTCACTATGAGTCAAAACCGACTCAACAGCACTTAACAACAACACAGGCCACTAAAGGACCACTTGCCCCACTCAGAAAGCTGATTTATAAAACTGCTGTGGCTGCTTTCTAATGTCCCTTTCTTTTTCCTGATTGTTAGGGTGCAAGTTGTAGATTTGCCTACAGAAACTCATCTCTAATTTGCTACAATGGAGGGCATTGGTGAGTCAGTAGTAGAATTCTTGCATTTCACGGGTGAAACTTGGTTTCCATTTCTAGCCAATGTACCACATGCACCACAACTCATTTATCAGTTTCTTATAAGATGGTGGCTTGCGTGTTGCTGTGATTCTGGAATGCTGTGATGCTATGAGTATTTTGAACACTGGCAAGGGTCACCCAGGGTACATAGGTTTCAGCTGAGCTTCCAGACTAAGACAGACTCAGAAGAAGGAGAGGCAAACTACGTCAGAATTATTAACCACTAAAAACCTTAGGAATAGCTGTTAAACACTGTCAGAGAGCAACTGAATATTGAATACTGAAACATGATGAACAGCACCAGAATGTTGTCAGAGATAGTGCTGAAAGGCAGTGCCTCGGTTGGAAGCTACTCAAAATACGACTGGGAAAGAGCTGCCTCCTTAGTTGATCGTGATGATGCAAATAGACTAAAGCTTTCAGGACCTTCATTTACCAATGGGGCACAACTCAAAATGAAGTGAAATAGCTGTGAATATCCATCAATAATTAGAACATAGAATGTATGAAGTACTAGTCTAGGAAAATTGGAAGTTGTCAAGAACAAAATGGAATGCATGAACATCAATATCCTAAGCATTAGTGAGGTGAAATGGACTGGGATTGGCCATTTTGAATATAACAATTGCATGGCTTACGATTCTGGGAATGACAAATTGAAGAGGAATGGCATTGCATTCATCCTCAAAAAGAACATTTCAAGCTCTATCTAGAAGTATTAAACTGTCTATGATAAGATATTATCCATACGCCTATGAGTCAGACCAGTTAATACCACTATTGTTCAAATTTATGCACCAAACACTAAAGCCAGTGATAATGAAACTGAAGAATTCTACCAACTTCTTCAGTCTGAAACTGACCAAACATGTAATCAAGAAGTATTGATAGAAATGCAGAGGTTGGAAACAAAGAAGGATCAGTATTTGGGAAATAAGACCTTGGTGATAGAAATGGTGCAGGAGATCACATGACAGAATTTTGCAAGACCAAATTAAACAACATAAATACATGTGGACTTCACCAGAGGGAATACACAGAAATCAAATTGACTACATCTGTGGAAAGAGATGCCAGAAAAGCTCCATATCATCATCATCATCAGCAGACTATGAAACAGACCATCAATTGCTCATATGAAAGTTCAGGCTGAAGCTGAAGAAAATTAAAACAAGTCCATGAGAGCCAAAAAATGACCTTGAATATATCCCACCTGTATTTAGACACTATCTCAAGAATAGATTTGATGCATTAGACACTAATGACTGAAAACCAGAAGAGTTGTGGCATAACATCAAGAATATCATACAGGGAACACAGAACGGTTTGGGGGTTTGTTGGAGCATCATCCTTTTGGCTAGGATACTGCGGTTCTCCTTTGGACAGGGACAGTAACGCAGTGGTCTGGGAAGTGGCCTCAGACTTAGGTGTTTGGTGAAAAATGCCCCAAACCAAGCAGACTGTCTGGAAATCCACTGTAAAGTGGGGTGGGAAGGCCTCCCGCAAATAGCTGGCCACTAAGGCGGCCCAGAAGAGTGCCCCCTCTACCAGCGGGGTGAAAAAGCCCCATCATTACAGGCCAGGCACCATGGCGCTGCAGGAGATCCACCACTACCAGAAGTCCACTGAGTTGCTCACCCAGAAGCTGCCCTTCCAGAGGCTGGTGCCAGAGATCACCCAGGACTTCAAGACAGCCTTGAGGCTCCAGAACGCAGCCATTGGCGCCCGGCAGGAGGCCAGAGAGGTGTACCTGGGTGGGCCTGTTCGAATACACCAACCTATGTGCCAAGAGAGTCACCATCATGCCCAAAGACATCCAGCTGGATATGGGGTGGCGAGCTTAAGCACCAGGCCATTTTTATGGTGTTTTGTAGTAAATTCTGTAAAATACTTTGGCTTAATTTGTGAATTTTTTGGTAGGACATTCTTTATAATATGTTGCATTTTTACTTCAGTCATTCCATCTTTCACTCAGGATGAATGCGAAAAGTGACTGTTCACAGTCTCAGTAATGTGGGCACTGTGGCTCAGGCAGGACAAGTTGCTGATCCGCAGAAGGGATGGTTTCTTACTTCTCATGGTGCATGTTTCTCTATGTTACTGACTTGTTGCGTACCTTTTAAGATACTAGAATTGAGAACTGTGTGCAGAGTCCTTTTGCAATAAAACTGGTTATGACTTGATCCAAGTGTTTAGCAATTGGGGCTGTTAAGTCTGACCAAACATCACCATGATAGAATGTGGGCTTTTTCAAGGATGAAGATATACAAGTCTTAACCACAGTGTAACTTACCATTTCCTTAAAAAAAAGGAAACCTGGCAACAATAGAATACACTACGTGCATTTATAATTGCTATTTATATATTGTAGTGTTGATATTTTAAAATTCAATGTTTTATATTTACATGTGGTGGGGAGTCTTGTCATTCAGGTGTGTGTAATTTAGAGTCCAGTTGGTTTGCCTCTCACTAGATGCACTTGTTCTCGTGGTGAAATGCTCTGCCGTGCTCTACTTTGCATAACTCCTCATTCTATCACATGTTAACTAACCCTCTAGCTGATAATGCAGTTCACCAATGGGGGATTTAATAAGGAGCTCTGGTAGCATAGTGGTTACGAATTGGGCTGCTAGCCTCAAGGTCGGCAGTTTGAAACTACCAGCTGTTCCATGGGAGAAAAATGAGGCTTTCTGCTCCTGTAAAGACCTGCAGCCTCAGAAACCCTGTGTAGGGTCACTATGAGTCGGAACCGACTCCACGGTACTTAACAATAACAACAGACTATCTAATACCAGTTATTCACACCAGCATCATCTGTTAACTATCTTCAGAACTCGTTAGTGTGCTGCTTTTTGTTGTTTAGTGGCTGATGTCCTAACTTGGTTGAATTTTTCTCCTCTACAAAGACAAACCAATTACTGAAGTCCTTTTCCTTGTGGAGTTTGTTCTAACAACTCTCAATTTTGGACTTACTGTCGGGGAAGGGGCACATGACTCCAGCTTCTTACCAATTACTAGGGGTGTTGTGTTAGGTGACATCTAGTATAGTGGCCTGGAGAAAATCAGAGAGGTGGCCCTTCAAAGTGGTTTTAAAATTTATCCTTTTATGAGTGTAAACTATCACTCAATTCACAATAAAAACTTAAAAAATAAAAAAATAAAACTTTTTTTTAAGCCATGTGTCAGTCAGTCACTTTAATATAAAATATCATCAAACCTCTCAATTACAAGAGCTCAAAAAACCACTGATCTTCAACTTTATAACAAGATTCAAAATCAGGGACAAACTTAGTTTTTAGAAAGAACCTTATATGGCAATTCCAGCTCAGGACTTTTTTCTGTATATACGTAACAATCAAACTAGGAATTACTACACGGGAACATTAATGCAATAAACAAGTAAAATGTGTTAATCCAAATCACAAACTTGATAATAAAGTGAATCATGGCAAGGGGACATCGCCAAAGAACAAATGACTCCTCAGTTAAGTTTGAAAGAAAATCTTGCTTTTGTGCAAACAATTCTGCTTCAAGACCATTTGCATAGAAATAGAAAATGGTAGAGCCTTTACTGCAAATGAAAATTGCAAAGCCTCAACATGTTAAATTCAATCCAAGGAGCAACAAATGTTAAATTGGAAGTGGGACTTGAGCATCTAATTTCTAGCTATGCCACTAGCTATCAGCAAGCATGATTACATAGCATAATACACAGAAATGCCAACCAGGCAGGCATTTCTAGTCTCTTTTCAAAGCCAATCTCAAATGCTCTTGATTTTGTCAACAATTACACCTTTAAGTCCTTATTAATAACCTCACAGTTCACTCTCGGCACCAGGAAACAAAGTCCCAAGGAGATGAGCAGCATTTTCTCCCTCATATCCTGCAGAACCAGTATGGTCTGTTACTTTATAGAATTACTTCTGACAAAACCCATTCTTGGCGTAAGTGGCAAGTCAGCAACAGTTTCTGGGAACTCTGGAAATTCCTGTCTTATCTCTTTAGCATGAATTGCTTCCCTATCACTTCATGTCCCACCCTCAGAAAATCCAGATCACCTGGAGTCACAGCTGGAAGTTCCACTATTCATCTCAGGCTCCCTCTGCTGGATGCCAAAGCAACAGTTAGTTGCAAAGCCAAAGACTGTAGAAGCAATGATTATTTATGCATTTTAAAGAGATTTACTTAACTTAAAACCTGGAACTTCTATAATCACCTTCCAGATCCTTTTGGGAAGGGCAGTAGTAGCAATTCTAAAGAACCACAACTTATTTCTACAGGAAGAAAAAGAATACATATAACAGTTTTATCAAGAGTAATTTGTAATTAAAAAAAAAAAAAAACAGAAATATTAGCAATACTCCAAAAGCTGCAGTGTAGAGGTGGCTAAAGCAAATGGAAGATCTTTACAGCGAGGATCATTCCAACCCCCTTGATACACAGGGTAGACGGGGATGGGCAACTTGGACATTACTCAAAATAGGGTGAGGGGGGGCTACAAAGACAAGAAGTAACTGGCTTACTGAGTAGTATCCAATATGTCTGGGCGGGGCTGATGAAAGGAGATGGGGATAGGACTCATGTGGTACAATAGTGAATAATTGTTATCAGGACTGACTGTGAGGGTTGGAAATGTAAAGGTAGATGTTTTGTAGCAAAAGGAGAGGAGTGGTTGACTTTGCAGTCCAGGAGTGGAGGTCCCTGGGACCATCAAAGGAGAAAAGTAGAGTGCAGGGATCCTATCCAGAGAAACAGTGACACCTGAGATGGAGGCAGAGACGATGACATGGAGAGATGGAGTGGCTGGGGGCTCTAGATGGAGAGGGGTTGTGTGCTGACGACCGAGGGTCAGACTTGCCGGGTGTACCCTTTGGTTAACTGATGATGCATGGAGGGGGTGAAACAATATAGGATAGGATGAATGTAAAGCTAATGTTCTCCCATGTAAACTATCACATAATTCACAATAAAACATTTAAATAAATAAATAAAGCAAATGGAAGAAATGAGGAGTAATAGTTTTGAATAGAAAATTTCATAGGACAGTTCAAGAAGACAAAGTCAAATATTGTTATGGGCGAAGATCTGAAGTTAGAAAACATGCTCAGCATTTCTCAGGCTAAAAGAACTGAAGAAAAAATTCAAGCCTTGACTTGAAATATTGAAGAATTGTTTGGGCAAAATAATCAATGATGCAGAAAGCATCAAAAGAAGATAGAAGGAATGCACAGAGTCACTGTACTGAAAAGAAATGGTTGCTGTTCAACCATTCCAAGAGGCAGCATCTGGTTAATAGCCAATGATACTGAAGGAAGAAGTCCAAGGTGCATTGAAGGCACTGGTAAAGAACAAGGTTCTGGGAATTGACAGAAGATAAACTGATATCTTTCAACAAACTGATACAGCACTGGAGGCACTCACTCAGCCATGCCAAGAAATTTGGAAGACAGCTACCTGCCTAATTGATTGAAAGAGATCCTTATTTGTGCCCATTTCAAAGAGAAGTGGCCCAATGGAATGTGGAAACCACTGAATAATTTCAGTTATTCACAGGCAAGCAAAATTTTGCTAAAGATAATTCAAAAATGGCTGCAACAGTACATTGACAGGGAACTGCCAGAGGTTCAAGTTGGATTCAGACAGGACATGGAATGAGGCTCATCACTGCTGATGTCAGATGGATCTTGGTTGTAAGCAAAGAATACCAGAAAGTATATATAGTTATTAAAGCACAGAAAGATGTTTTACCTGTGCTTTATTGACCATACAAAGGATTTCAACAGTGTGAATCATAACAAACTACAGACAACACTGTGAAGAATGGGTATACCAGAACACGCAGTTGTGCTCATGAGAAGCCTATACATAGACCAAGAAGCAACAGTCTGAACAGAACAAGGAAATAGTTTATGGTTTAAAATCGGGAAACATGTGCACCAGGGTTGTATTCTTTCATCATATTAATTCAATCTGTATGTTGAGCAAGTAATTCAAGAAGTTGGATTACATGAAGAACAGGGCATCAGGATTGGAGAAGGACTCATTAACAACCTGTGATATGCAGATGATAGAACCTTGCCTGCTGAAAGTGAATAGGATTTGAAATACTTCTGATGAAGATTCAAGACCACAGCTTTTTGTATGGGTTGTACTTCAGTGTAAAGAATACAAAAATCCTCACTACTGGACCAGTAAATAACATCATGATAAACAGAGAAAAGATTGAAGTTGTCAAAGGCCTCATTTTGCTCACATCAACCATTAAAACACTCATGGAAGCAGCAGTCAAGAAATCAAATGACGTATTGCATTAGGCAAATCTGTTGCACAAGACCTCTATAAACTGTTCAAGAGCAAAGATGTCAGTTTGAGGACTAAGTGCCCCTGACCCAAGCCATGGCATTTTCAATAGCCTCTTATACATGTCAAAGTGGGACAGTGAATAAGGAGACTGTAGAAAAATTGATGCATTTGAGTTATGGTGTTGGAGAAGAATTTTAAAGGTACCATGGATGGCCAGAACAGACAAATCTGTATTGAAAGAAGTACAACCAGAAATTTCCTTAGAAGCCAAGATCACCAGACTTTGTCTCTCCTACATAGGATGTATTATCAGAAGGGGCCAGTCCTTGAAGAAAATATCATGCTTGATAAAGTTAGCATAGTGGCAGTAACAATGGACTCTAGCATGCTAGCAATTGTAAGGATGGTGCAGGACCGGATAGTGTTTTGTTTGTTATACAAAGGATTGCTATGAGTTGGAAATGAATCAATGACACCATCTGTATATCCATGGAGGCTTGCTTCCACAAGAAGATAACACTAAGGTCTGTTTCTGAAAATCCTCTGGGTCACAATGCTTTGATCTGCAACCAATTATGGGTTTGGTGCAGGACTGGGCGGCATTTTGTTCACTGTGTTGCCATGAGTTGGTGACTGACTCAGTGGCAGCTGACACCACCACCAAATCTGCTCTGAGAAACAAGAAGACCACTAACACGCTGCAGAGTCCTCTTCTGGTATCCTCTATCTGAAAGGTTCTCTATCCACCTGTCCTGTCTGACACCCATACACCTTCTCAGGCTTGGTGTCCACATCTCTTCCAGAGAGCTTAGAGCTCTGGCTGGGCCTCTGCTCAAGAGGTGATTCTGAACATGCCCCTTGACACTGGCACATGTCGATCCAGTATGTGTTACATGCACACATGTGAAAACTACCTACTCATGTGGCGGTTTGCCCTCCGTACTTCACTAGCATCTAGTCTGAGAACTGGCTTGATAGACAGCAATGGATGCTTTAGGAGACACTGACCACTCATGGCTCTAAGCTTGGGCTTACTTGATAGAACCAGGTCCCAGACCCCAGGGGAGAGGCAGCACTAGGCATGCTAGGGAGTAGGGGCTAGCAGGGCCCTGATCTCTGCTGCTCCTCTGTCCAGCTCCATGGGCAGGAAGGAGCCCACCTTGCACCTCTACCCTTCATTCTCTCTGCAGGCTGCTTTTGTGGAGAACAATACTCACCTGGGGGTACTAGCTGGCTGGCAGTGAGGTATTTCTTGTCTGAAAACATGGCCATCCAAAACTTGATCATGATGCTGATATCTTCACGCAGCCTCTTCTCTCCTTGAGTCGGGAACTTGGGGGGACAACTGGAAACCACCACCAAGGACAAGTGGGAATGAGGGACCAGAGGCTGCCACATGATAGAGTGGTGAGAGGTAAGCCTGAGCTGGTCACCAGCCACTGTTAAGGCAGCAAGCCACCATGGAACCGGTGGCAATTTCCAGAGCCCTCTCATTCTCACTTTCACCACCACCCTCAATAAGGCCAGGCGTCCTACATTGGGAGGACTGTGAGGGTGCCCCACCCACATCATCACTTATGTCAATAGGAAGGCTGAGTGGGGAGGGAAAGTCAGCAGGAGGCTGCCCAGACAGGGGTCTGAGAAGTACTTTAGGCAAGTCCTCCTGGGAAGGAAGTCCCAGAGGCCAGCACTACTGTGGGGTGCAGAGGTCAGTACCTGAAGTAGTCAAAAGCAGTTGAGTAGATCTTCTCCCGGAGCACATTGCGAATGGTCGCATTGGGGACCACATCAGCATGTAGGAGGGTCAGTCCCAGGGTCAGCAGTCTGCCAGAGACTTGGGGCCATCAGGTGGGAGTATGTGCTTATCCCCCTCCCCCACCACTGCAGGACTAGACCACACAGACCCTTGGTTCCCTAAAACCTGGTGATCAAAGGATACCCTGAGATACCAGGGCTCTAGGGAGCCAGGATGAGCATCTGTAAGGTGATTATAGCTTACTCACATATTTTACCCCAAAATCTCAGCAAAGGTTCTTCAAAGCCTTTACTTTTATTAGGGAAATGAACAGTTCGTGGGATGTCTGCCTTGGCCAATAGAAACACCAGTCAAACCATTTGCAAACTACTCCCAGATGTGCTATGATGGTGAAACATTTGATACAAGTATAGGAAAAATATTTGTCCTGGTGTGGTACTGCATGATAAGCACTGGACTGCTAACCATAAGGTTGGCGGTTCAAACCCACTAGCTGTTCCTCAGAAACCCTTCATAAGGTCACTATGAGTTGGCAGTGACTGGACAGCACTTAACAACAACAATCACATAGAAAATATATAATGGCCTGGTTAATGTAGGGTACCAATGAGCAGGTGGTGGGGAGCTAGAAGCTGGGGCAGGAGGTGCTGTTCCTGCCCACAGGGAACAGAACATAATGCTTGAGGTGAGAAAGACAAATCTCTACATACTTAAGTTCCACAAAAGGGGTGCTAGGCTTCAATGGGCTCTGCCAAGAGGGAGGGCACTGATGGGACTAGAGAGGTGTGGCAGTGAGGTGGGCCCTGGAGGAGCTACTTCTTGTCTGGCAGAAATAGAGTGGTATGTATGGGTGGGTGGGGTAAGCTGTAAGGGCCAAATGGCAGGGGGCGTCAACTGGGCTACGTGGAAAGCTATGGAGAAGTCAGGCCAGGTGCAGGTGGTCAGAGAGGAATGTGATGAATCATCCTTCAGGAGGCCTTCCCAACAACCACGAGTGCATGTGGCAACCCTCACTTCGTGGGCAGTGAGCAACTGGACACTCACAAGCAAGAGCCCTGCTGGGCAGGACTGAAGCGCCAGCTGCAATGAGTGAGGGGTGTGTGGGAGGGTAGAGAGGGTGGCTGGGTAGAGTAAGAAAACTTCAGGTCTGGGCCCTGGCTTTGTCACCAGAGAAATGGTGGTGATCAGAAAGGTGAGGAGGGAGGCAAGGCAGCCTGTAATACAGGGGACAGTGTGGATTGAGAGGAGAAGGGGAAAATGGCAAGGGCAGGCAGATCAGATGGGGCATGTGCTTGAGCACATGGTGGCGCCAAAGCAGATGTTTCCTGTGAAGTCTTCCCTCCCCACTACTCTGAGGTCCGCACTGTCACTGCTTATGCCCACACAGGGAGGCTCTCACTTGAAGCGGGGTCCAATGGCAGCCACATGGCGGTTCATGCTCCCCTTGGTCCCGCCGATGTTCAGGGACATGGAACGCTGCAGGAGACTGGAGAAAATCTCAACCTGGTCGGAGCTGCAGTACTTGGCAATCTCAAAACGCTGTACCAGGAACTGTGTGGGAATGGGACATGTTGCTGTGATAGGGCTGGCCCCTCTGTGTAGCCCACCGTGTGGGTGGGGTGGGTGGGACAGGGGTCCTGGGGAGGTAGGCAGCAGCTGCTGGGGGAAGCCTGGGACACCCTTCTCTCTTCCCATATAAAGCAGTCTCAAGGCACGGAGACACCCTGCTATGGTGGGTCACCCACCCTTGGGGGAGCCCTTGCCCTGCAGAGCCTCAAAGATGAGAAGCAGGGGATCAGACACGTACATCGATCCAGATGTAGTGAGGCGTCACTTCAGGGGGGCAGGGTTTTGGCTGACTTGCTTCTGATGCTGCCAGAGGGTCAGCTTCATTTATTTCAGCAGAAAACAGGCCAAACTTCTGCTCCACTGCCATCTGCCAGGCCCCTGCCATCTCCCGCATGAACTGGAAGTACAACAACAGATTGTGAGCTCCTCTGGGAAGCAAAAAAAAAGTGTGTTTTTTTTTTTTTAATTATAAAAGGAGTATTTCCATTTATGACAGTATCCAAAATAATAAAACCCATAGGAATGCTTTTAAACAGAGAAAAAGAAGTTTTGTACACTGAAAACTGTAAAATATCAAACTAAACTAAAGAATGTGGAAAGCAATATACAACAAGACAGAGGTGGCAGAGGAAAGATGAAGGCAGCAGAAGGCACAGGGAGGAGTGCAAGAGTCAAAGTGAACAGAGATCAACACTGTTAAGTGATGGTATATGGAGATTGCAACCACTGTAATGAAACAGATATGATTTGTGGAAAGTAAAACTGATGATCTGCTCTGTAAACCATGACTAAATTCACAATGAAAAGTTAAAACAAATTACAGAACAAACTGTAGGATAAACACTAGACTGATAACAGCAAGGCTGGCAGTTCAAACCCTGAAATGGATGTGGACAGGCTCCTCATACTGCTGTGTCTCAGGGGTACTGGTCAGAGCTAGGTGAATGGAGTATGTTAAAAAGACCAGCTGACCTTTTTCCCGCAGGAGGGCTGCTCGGACACTGCACAGCTGTACCCACAAACTACATGAGAATCTGGTCATGAGTCTGTGCCAAATTCATAATGCAGCCCCCTCTGTACACCCCTCCCTGGAGCAGCCCTGATGCGCAGGTGTGTGGCGTCCCATCAGGATCCTTCTAGGACACAGAAGCTGGCCCACTCTTCTAATGAAGCAAAGCAGAGCAGATGAAAGGAGTTTGGGCCACACCTTTTCTCTCCACAACTGGTCACCCAAGCCTTCATCTACCAGTGGGGAGCACTGGTCCACATTACATCTTTACAAATCACCGAGAATCATGACCCAGTAAAGTTTATATGTTCTTTTGGGGGGAAACGATTCAATCCATGACCATGTCTATGTCTCCGGGAAGAAAGAAGGGGGAAGAATGGGGGCATAGGAGAGTTTTGCAGCTGCTTTGCATAACTGGCTCCCCTAGTCTACCTAGGGGAGAGATGCCCTGCCCTCTAGCCCATGGAGCCACAATCACAGGTTGGGGTTAGGGGTGGGAGTTGGGAGGCAGACTTGCCACAGTCCCAAAGAGATGGTGCCACATTCTCCATGGAAATAGGTGGAACACTATGGGAAAACAAGAGGTTGGAAAAAATGGTGGTGAGCTCAATTCCAGACATACTACAGAAACCCTCTACAACAAAGATACAAGAGACGAAATAAAACAGAGACAGATGAAACTTCTGGCACCCTGAACTGCAGAAGAAAGGCTATAGGGATGGATAGAGTGCTTACTGAGAGGAGAGGCAAGCAGGGATGGTGAGAGAGGGAGACTGACTGGTGAACAGCTGACCGGACTCAGCTTGTTCATCTTGTGAGTAGCTGTGGCAGGGCAGGAAGGGAGCCTGACAGAGCAGATTCTCATGGAAAAGGTATGTTTTCTTCTTTTTCCCCACACTTTCCTGGTACCAGAAGTGTGGCTAGTTCCCACCCTCATCCATGCCAGCACAGACCCTGCTCTCTGGGAGTTCAGAGCTGCATGGTTGGGAGTGAGTTGGGGGCTGGATGCGCCTCTTTGGTGTGCCACTTTGGTGCCTAGATTCAGATGGGCTTGGCTCGAGATCTACAAATCCTGCAGAGCCACCAGATAAGCATTTAACCAGTCACTCTGCCCCCAGCTGCCCTGTGATCCTAACAGACACTGAAACCAGCTCCATCAAAGGCCCCCACCAACTACTTACAGAATGAATGGCTTGACTACAGATAATACCAAAACCAATAGAACTCTATCTAGGACCAGGGCCTCTACTGTCACATCCCTTCTACAACCTTGAATTATAGGTGCCCCTCCCCCC